CTGCTCAGATGAGCAATTATACAGAGGTGGTAATCAGCTTGCTTCCCATAAATTAATGGAGGAATTTGGTAGCATATCAACTGGCCCTGGTATGAGACTATGAAAACAACCAAATCGCTTACTCCTTCAGTTTGCAGAATTACCTTTTAAGAGAAGCAGTTACATGTGCAGGTTGGCACCAAGCAGTACAATAGAAAGAACAGACCTGGAAGACAGACCTGAGTTACAATCCAGGTGCATGTGGTATGTGGCGAGAGCAGTGCAAGGCCACCATCTTCACGGGTGTGCCCACCTGTCCACCAGGAGTCTGTGAGCTATATGAGAGTGCAAAAGTGTGTAAGGTTCCTGGAATATAGTTAGGCACAAATAAATGGTGCTAAGATGATTAGAGAAGGTTTTACAAAAATAACTCATACTAGGGAATTACCTGTAAAGCAACCTCATGCTGTGTTCTAGATTCACAGCTTAGAAAACGCATTCTGCTAGACATTGTTCTCCAGAGTCTTGGACTGCAGCTCCCTGTTTAGTCATCAGGGGACCCTGCAAAACTTTAATTATCTGTGAAACATTGTTAAGCTTATTGTACTATGTTTGCAAAAGCAGGAGATGAGGCACATTGAAACAAAACAAAAAGATACCATGTCCTCAAACCCTTACTTCACCAGAAAGCTAAATTAACCGGAAGAACCTTTTCTGAAACTTCTAGTTGTTCTTGTTTTATTGAAATTTAAACATGAGGCTTGACAATAACTTTACTGGATGGTGCCAGAGCACAAGCCATTTTTAGAAAAACATTATTAATATTTTAAGCTTCTTTATAAAACCATTGAAGCCTGCATAAAGACTGCTATGTGAATAATTAGGCAGCATTATGCATTTAGCACAAAAAGCATATGGGGGGGGTGGGTGAAAAAAATTGTACGTATGTAAAGAAATGTTATCTATGTATTAGTTTTCGAAGTTGAATTAAATTACGGTAGCAATGGGTAGTATGACGTTCCCTCAAAAAATGGCATTAATCAAATGCATGCTAGTGTCATTCATTGTATTATAATTTTAATACAGTTTTTCATTTCTTAAATGTGTATAAATGTTTTTGGCACCCTCTGTATGTCCACAAACTGGTGTGTAGATAAACAAAATGTGATATATCCATACACTCAAATACTATTTAGCAATAAATAATAAATAGGAAAGAAACAGTAAAAAAAAAAACCCAAAATAAAACAAATTACAAACAAAAAGTAAAAACCACTGAAGCCCACAGGATATGCTAGTGGTGTGACATATGTTTTCAACTTTTGTATTATGAAAAATATTAAACATAGAGAAAAAGTGAATACTAGTACAGTGATCACCTACATGTTCATTACATACATTTAACACATAACATTGTAATATTTGCTTTGTCTGTATTACATTTCTGCTAGGAAGCATTTGAAAGCACACAGTATGACACTTCATTAAAATACTACGCATGCATTGTTTTGTATCAACCATCCTCTGTCAGCACTATTGCACTTAGGAACATCGGCAAGAACTTCCTGATATTTAATATTTAGTTCACATTCAAATCCCCTCTGGGGAAAGTTTTGAGCCAAAGTTCAGTCCCCGCGTTGGTATAATTTCGTATCATATAAAAGCAATTATCACAAGAGATCTCAACCAATACTTGACTTGTGAACAGTACTGAAGAAATACATGCGTTACTGCCCTCAAGTTGCTGTAAGGAGCTCTGATGAGACAAAAATACCAGTGTGTGACCCTGAGATGAGAAATGAGCCTCAACAGATTGTAAGCCCAAAGTAAAACGTGATCAGTAGTGGGTCAACATGTGGTTCTCTGTGTCTTCTCGCATCATCAGCAAGAGGGCATTTGGGACTAAATAGGCTGAATGGGTGAATGCCACCAATATGGAGTAACATTTACACTTGAGTTATATGTGCCTCATGTCCTTTTGCATGACACTTAGTAAATGGTGCGTGAAAATACAGCCCTCATTTTCAGAAGGGTCAATGTGGACCTGCAGGGAGAGCAAGAATGTTCCTGAAATAATGAAATTGGAAGAGAGGACTCAGTGACATAGGGTTGAGGTGGTGGAGAAACAGCCCAGCAGACACCTGGGGATTTTGAAAGAAATATGAGGCAAAGCTGTCCAACGGAATTTTCTGCAAAGAAGATATTCTCTGTCTGCACTGTCTCATGTGGCAGCTGCTATATTGAACACTTGAGGCTAGTATGAGTGGGGAATGAAATTTCAAATTTTCAAATTTTATTTAATTTGAATTATAATTTTCAAATAGTCTCACATAACTACTGGCTACTGTGTTGGACAATATAGCTCTTAGTTCCCAAACAAATGTCCCTCAGGCCACTGAAATCCAAGAGGATTTCAGCAAGATTCACAGCGTTCACCAGACCAACAGTAATAATGGGGGACCATTGAGCCAAATTTGGTTCACCTTCTATTTCTTGCTGACTCCATTTTTCTAATACAAGTTCTGTTTTTGAAGATGTGTGTCTTCTGTACAATGTTCGTAGACAAAATTATGAGAGCTGTTTTAAGGAAATAGAGAAAAGATGAAAACTTCATCTTACGGGAAAAACCTCTTTCCTATTTCATTTTGCCTTTTCAGGAGGCTGGTAACTTGTATGTTGATATTTTTTTTAAATCGCCAGGTTTATCACCTTTTCAAGCTTCTAACATGCATATTGTATAATTCTAATACAAGGTCTGGGAACAGGATACTTGCAGATTCATGGACTGATGTCCTATAAATTCAGGGAGATCACAACATATAGCAATAAAACTAAAAGCAGAATTCTAAACTGGTCATTTGGGATCAGAGACTCATTAGGAAAAATTGCCTTTCTCTTTATTCCAGAGGCCCCGGGGGGGAAATTGTGTGCTTAGCAGTTGGAATAAGAAGAAGGAAATGTGCCTGATGAGCAGATACAGACAGCGCTGTAACGCCTCCTCTGTGCGTCTCTCAGCTTGTACCATGTTGGTGCCCAGGACCTGGGTGTTGCTGTTGAGTCCTCAGCTGACTGTGAACTGATGCTTCACTCCTTCCTGCTGTCTCATGTGGGGACAGAGATTCAGTCTCCATCATGAACCTTCCAGGGAGTAATTCAGACTTCCACACAGAGGCCTCCCTCTCAGAGACCCCATCCAGGTGAGTCTGAGAGCCCAGCAGGTACTGAAGGAAAGGGTCAGAGAGGAAGGGATCTGAGGAGTCTTCCCTGAGTCACTGCGACCCTAATCAGCCCAGAGAGTAGAGATCACCGTGTCTGTGTTTGGTTAACTAATTGATTTATAATTAATTCATTTAATATATTAATAAGGATGCTTGAATCTGCACTACAGGTTCCATAGTTAACAATTAAGTGACAGGCATGGATGTCTGTAAAATGAGTGAGATGCATAAAATGATGGCAGTACAATGAAAACATATCTGAGGAGTTTGCTGTTTGAGGAGCAGAAAAGTAGTGTTAGGTGTGGAGCCAGTGCAGTGAAATGAGAGCGTTTGTATGAAATTTCTAAATGGGGTGTATTTGAGCATGTTGTGTCGTCACTGAAAAGATCCAGATTAGTGGAGGTAGAAAGTACCTTAAAACAGCCAAACAGCCATTCATGAGACATACATGGCAGGATCTTCTCTTATGCAGGGTATTTACATAAAAAAATTATTTAATAAGTCTATTGAGGAATACTAAATAGTTTTACTTTTAAATTTTTTTCTTACTTTTAATTATTTTATTACTGGCTAGGCTGCATATATTTTGGTTTGTTACTTGTTTAAACTCTTTGGAACAGGTAGTAGTAATTCCTATCCCACACTCAGCCTTGCCCCCTGGTGGTCATTGTCGTCTATATTTTTAATGAGAAATTCTGTCATGCACTGGGGAGTATAAATGGAAGATCGAACAACTTCTAGGCAAAGAGTACACAGTGCTGAGAACAAAACAGTTCAGTGATGGAGAAATTATGTCTATAGCGTTGGGTTTCGTCTAGAGTTTCAGGGGAAGTTCTGTTTCCCTTCCTATTTCAGTTGTATTCTGCCCACCTGCCTTCCTTGGCTCATGGCCATTCCTCCGTCTTCAAAGCCATCAGTTTAGCTTCTTCATCTTGTCTCTCGCTTCTACATCTAGAAGACCATTATAGTTGCCTTAGTGCCACCTGGATGATCCTGGCTCATTTTTAAAAGTCAGCCGATGAGCAAGCCTGTCCATCTTCTACACCAATCCTCCCTTATTATGAAAGTATCCAATGCGAAGGCACTGGGATAGGGTGTGGACATATTTTGGAGGCCCTTATTCTGCTCATTACAAAGTCTGTTAAAAGTGTATTATTCCGTGCCCCTCAGGGGCCCTTATATAAGAGAAATGAACACAGAATTTATCACAGTTTCTAAAATGAGTGAATACACTATTGCTTTAAAAATTCATGCAAAGAAATACTTGGTTGAGAAGAACTGAAATTGCCTACACCTGACTCTGGCACAGGACCTCAGCCTTGCTATGCAGAGCGTGGTCCACAGACCAGGACCTGCAGCATCAACACCCCCGGGGAGTTTGTTAGAAATGCAGCCTCTCTGAGCCCCCAGGACCTGCTGACTGAGATTCTTATTTCTGGTGGGATCCTTGTTGATTCATAAGCACACTCAAGTTGAAGTGCTGGTCTTGACTAGGTTTGCTCACCTTCTCCCGGTTGACATTGTGGGCTGAATAATAATTGAGTGGGGGTGCTTTCCAGTGGATTGTAGGTGTTTAGCAGTATTCCTTCAGGCAATGCCAGACACCTCACTCACAAAATCATTTCTGGATGAGAAACACTGCCAAGAAGCAATGAAAAAAATTATAATCAAGTCCCATCAGATATTCTGATATTAATTTTGGACAGATCATTAACCCCTTCTGCTCCACCACAGGGCCTTTGCACTTGCCATTCCTCCTAAGTACACACTTGCCCACATAACACTGCCTCTTTCTCCCTTTCTTCACTGAGGTCTCTGTTCAAATGTTAACTTGTTTGTAAATCTTAACTAAATGCCCATGAAATAGAGAATACACAGATCAGTATCTTTTTCTAGGACATGCTCTCCTTTTCTTTTTAAAGATTTTTATTGGGGAATTGGGGGATGGAAACAGCGCTGGGGAATTGAGGGAAGGGGAACAGACAAGTTGCTGTCCGTTTTGTTCTTCAGTCTAGTTGTGGAGGATGTTGCTTCACTGACCCAAGTTGGCAATATCATTACTCTCTTCTCCGGTGAGGCAGATCAGTCATTGGCTTTTGGACGGCCACTCACTGCGGCTGCTGGCCGTTCATGCTGGCTGCTGGCTAAATATGGTAGCCCATTGCAACCCACTGCCACAGGGGCTGCAGCCTACGCCATAGCCAGCGACTCATGGCAGCCCAGCTCCAGGTTGAGCTGTTGTTCAGCATCTTAGCTCTGGAGGGCAGCGTCACTGGTCCTCATATGTGGGATCTGAACTGGGGCCCTCTGGTGTCCCAAGCCAGCTCTTAACCACCATGCCACTTGGCCGGCCCGGCTTTTCTTAATATTATCTATCACCAGCTGAAATGTTATATTTTTATTATTAACTTGTATATTTTCCTCCATCATTGACTTGTATGAACTTCTGTTTTTCAGCAATCCAATACTCACAGACTAGACAGTACCTAAAACATGGTGAGCACTCAATTTATATGCCTGAAATACATGAAGAATTTCTCATTAAAACCATAAAATACATGTCTCTTTTGAAAGATGCAGATTGGGACAAAAATTCCTAATCTGAGATGGCATAGCAAACCCCTAGAAGGAACCAGATCCACACAAAAGTATTGAAATTAATCACTTGGGAGCAAAATATAAATTGTAGCATTAGAGCTATGTGAGTAATGTCAGTTTTTATGAAAATTACTTATGCTATTTTCCTGTCTTGGAAGTCACCTCTTCTTCCTAGAAACAGGGAATATTACAAGAGTTTCAGAATTTCTTCTCCTGGGACTTTCAGAGGAGCCAGAACTGCAGCCCCTCATCCTTGGTCTTTTCCTCTCCATGTACCTGATCACTGTGTTGGGAAACCTGCTCATCATCCTGGCCGTCAGCTCAGACCCCCACCTCCACACGCCCATGTACTTCTTCCTCTCCAACCTGTCCTTTGTGGACATCTGTTTCACCTCCACCACCATCCCCAAGATGCTGGTGAACATCCAGACACAGAGCAAAGGTATAACCTATGAAAGCTGCATCACCCAGATGTATTTATTCACAGTCTTTGGCACGTTGGATGTCTTTCTCCTGACCGTGATGGCCTATGACCGCTTTGTGGCCATCTGTCACCCCCTGCACTACATGGTCATCATGCACCCCCAGCTCTGTGGACTGCTGGTTCTGGTGTCCTGGATCATGTGTGTCCTGAATTCCTTGTTACATAGCTTAATGGTGGTGAGTCTGTCCTTTTGCACAGACTTAGAAATTCCCCACTATTTCTGTGAACTCAATCAGATGATCCAACTTGCCTGTTCTGACAACTTTCTTAATAACCTGGTGATGTATTTGGCAGCTGTGCTAGTGGGTGGTGGTTCCTTGGCTGGTATCCTTTATTCTTACTTTAAAATAGTGTCCTCCATACGTGCAATGTCATCATCTCAAGGGAAGTATAAAGCATTTTCTACCTGTGCGTCTCACCTCTCGGTTGTCTCCTCATTTTATCGGACAAGTCTAGGAGTGTACCTCAGCTCTGCTGTGACCCACAGCTCACAGTCAAGTGCAGCAGCCTCAGTGATGTACACTGTGGTCACACCCATGCTCAACCCCTTCATCTACAGTCTCAGGAACAAAGATATAAAGGGGGCTCTGAAAAGATTCTTTGGGATGACCGATCTTAAAAGGACACTCATGCTGAGGCTGAAAAAGTGCCCTTGATTTCTTGGCTCGAAGTCCAAATTCAGACATTGTGATTCTTTAATCAGATGGTGTTTGTAGACTTATTTTATTTATATTCTGGAATTTCTGTTTGTTTGAGTCTAACTTCTCTATGTAATTTTAAAAAAATATTTATTTTTTTCAGTTACAGTTGATATTCAATAGTATTTTATATTAGCTTCAGGTGTTCACTATAGTGATTAGACAGTTACATAATTTAAACAGTGATCCCCTCATTAGTCTAGTACCCACTGGCACCATACATACTTGTTGCAATATTATTTACTATATTTTGTATGCTGTACTTTATGTCCCTGTGACTATTTTGTAACTACCAAGTTGTATTTCTTAATCCTGTCACTAATTTCATCCAGGCCCCCAAACCCCACCTCTCTGACACCATCAATTTGTTCTCGGTATCTATGAGTCTGTGTCTTTTGTTTGTTCATTTGTTTTGTTGTTTAGATTTCACATATAAGTGAGATCATATGGTATTTGTCTTTCTCTGTCTAACTTATTTCACTTAGCATAATACCCTCTAGGTCCACCCATGTTGTCATGAATGGTAAGATTTCATTCATTTTTATTGCCAAGCAATGTTCCATTGCATATAATTGTGTGTACCACATCTTCTTTATCCAGTCATCAAGTGAATGGCACTTAGGTTTATTCTATATCTTGGCTATTTAAATAATGGCGCAGTGACCATAAGGTTGCATGTATCTTTTTTTTTTTTTTTAGCTGAGCCATCCTGCCATCGGTTGGCAGCTCAGCGGCTGCTTAGCTCAGGCTGGACTCGAACCGCTGTTGCTCAGAGCTCAAACTCTTGAGCGAGCTCTTAACCAACTGAGCCACTCGGCTGGCCCTGCATATATCTTTTAAATTACTGTTTTGGATTTCTTAGATACTCAGAAGTGGCATTGCTGGTCATAAGGTAGTTCTCTTTTTAATTTTTGAGGAAATTCTATAACACAGTATAGAATTCCTGTACATAGAATTCTGTGTTCCGTAGTGGCTGCACCAATTTGCAGTCCCACCAACAGTGCACGAGGGTTCCCTTTTCTCCACATTCTCACCAACATTTGTAGTTTGTTGATTCCTCATGATGGCCACTCTGACAGGTGTGAATTTACATTTCATTGTGGTTTTAATTTGCGTTTCTATGATGATTAGTGATGTGGAGCATCTTTTCATATATCTAATAGGCATCTGTATGTCCTATTCGGAGAAATGTCTATCAGGTTCTCCTCTCATTTTTTAATGTGATTGTTCTTTTGAGGTTGAGTTGTATCAGTTTTTTATAAATTTTGGATATTAACCTTTTATCAGATGTATCATTAGCAAATGTCTTCTCTCAATCAGTTGGTTTTCTTTTTGTTTGGTTGATTGTTTTCTTTGCTGTGGAAAAACTTTTTAGTTGGATGTAGTTCGATTTGTTTATTTTTTCTTTTGTTTCTCTTGCCCAAGGAGATATATTAGAAAACAAATGTTACTATGAGCAATGTTGGAGAATGTACTGCCTATGTTATCTTTAGGAGTTTTATGGTTTCGGGTCTTATACATAAGCCTTTAATGTATGTTGAGTTTATTCTTGTATATGGTGTAAGAAGTTGGTCCAGTTTCATTTTTTTGCATATATCTGTAGACTCTCTTTACCTCACTGTATGTTCTTGCCTCATTTGTCACAGATTAAATGACTATGTAAGGGTCAGTTTATTTCTGGGTTCTGTATTCTTTTCCATTGAATTATGTCTGCTTTTTATGCCAGTACCATGCTGTTTTGACTTATAGCCTTGTATTATGGTCTGATATCAGATAGCATGAAATGTTCAACTTCGTTCTTTCTCAAGAGTGCTGTGACTATATTGGGTCATTTGTAGTTCCATATTACTTTTAAGATGATTTGTTCTAGTGTTGTGAAAAATACAAAAGTAATATGCAGAAATCAGTTGAATTTTTATACACCAATAATGAACTCCCAGAAAGAGAATAAGGAAAAGAATCCCATTTATAACTGCATCCAAAAAACACCTAGGAATAAATTAAGGAAGGAGGGCAAAGACCTGTACTCAGAAAAGTGTATGACACTGAAGAAATAAACTGAAGAGGATACAAATAAATGGAAGCATATATGGTGCTATTGGACAAAAAGAATTAACATTGTTAAAATGTCCATACTACCCAAAACAATCTGTAGACTCAGTACAATCCCTATCAGAATACCCATGGCATTTTTCTCTACACAATTTTAGTAACCATTTGATTCAGCTTCCTGCTCTGTGTCAAATAGACAGTTTTTTCCTTGTTCTTTTTTCAACCTTCCTACATTTTTTTCCAACCTTGATCAGAAATCTTTGGAAATTCCTGTTTACTTCATGGGCAACATGGATTTCTACAGAATAATTTCCTCTCAAAAGATATATATTATTGCAAGTAATGTGTTGTTGTTTGATGGACAGAATAGTCACAAGTTGCATTACTCATGTGGAAACATTTTCTTTTGGCTACTGAGCCAATTTATGTGATTTTATTTCAAAGGAATATCTGAAACCACAGTTTTCACTTTTGTGTCTTTCTTTTTACATCAGTAGCTTCACTGCTCTTCCTGATAATGTGGACTTCATCATTGTTCACGTTAAGTCTCAGCCTGTTTTGTTGATAGTGTTGCTATAGGCTGGGAAGGCCTAAATTAACATGAAGCTGCAAGAATTAGAAATTTAAACATATGGATTTAAAGTAGAATGGTTGACCTTAATATTAGTAATGAATTACATTTCTATCTTAATGCACACAGGCCTGAAAGTCAGAACCACATTTACTTTATGTAATGGAGAATGCATTAGGCCAGCTAATGGAGCAAATTCCCTAAATTGACTTTACATGACTTCTTCTACTTAAGGTGGGATTTCAACACAAATGCACTTACCTGAGGGAAGCAAATAGGATAAAGAGAGGATAAAATTTACTATCCTACAAAAAATTATATATATTTATTACATAAATGTATTACTTTCCTGTTGTAACAAATTACACAGTAGGGGTATATAGAAAGAAATTCATGTTCTTACTGTATTAGGTTTTAGACCCCTGAACAAGTCTCAATGGACTAAACTCAAGATGTCTGCAGGGCAGTTTCCTTCTGGAGGCTCCAGGAGAGAGTCCATTTCCTCTCACGTTCCAGTTTCTCGTGGCCACAAGCATTCCTTGGCTCCTGGCCTCTCTCCATCTCTAAAGCATCAGTGGAGCATCTTCCAATCTCCCTCTGATTCCAACTATTCCTCCTTTACTTGCTTCTACATTCTAGGCGTGCGGTCATTACAGCAGTCCCACCTGCACAATCACAGCCAATCTTCTTATCTTAAAGCCGCAGACTTATAGCACAAGTATTCCAACCTCTACCTTAACCCACCACTTACTATAACAAATAGAATATTCAAAGTTTCCAGGGATGATGATGTGGACATTTTGGAGGCCCTCATTCTGCCTGTTACAAAATCTTTTTCAGAACTGTTTTATCTGGTGACACTCAAGGGCCCTGGTATAAAAGGGCCCTTGAAACAACACAGAATGTATCACAGCCTCTGAAATGAGTGAATACAGGCATGCACTGCGTGATGACATTTTGGTCTATGAGGGAACCTCATATACAATGATTCTCCCATATGATAATAATGTTGCTAAAAAATTCCTATCGCCTAGTGACATCATAACCATGGGAACATCTTTGTAATGTAGCACATTGCACCAATACTTACCATCGTGTAACAGTTGCCTACAGTATTCAGTATAGTAACATGCTGAACAGGTTTGTAGACTAGAAGCTGCAGGGGAGCAGAATTTGTCACCCCAAATTATGTCAATTTGGTGTAAGGATTATTTTAGGATGGTTAATTTGAAGAAACAGCAGACATGAAAGAAGCTCTGAAAACCAAGTACAAGTTGCCCTTTGTAAGGGATATTTACATTTGTATGGAAAATCTCCATTTGTGAGGGGTTGTGTCCCACCACAGTCAATGCTTTCAAGAGCCAAGGGACCTAGTCAAGGCAGAGTCCTCAGTCTTAGACTTTGGAGAGAACTCTAAGTCAGGGTTGGGATAAGGTGCTGGGAGTGAGATCTGTGGTAGGTGAGAAAGTCATGGAGAAAGTGTAACAGAAACAGGACTCACCTGACTTCTCATGTAGACCTTTTCAGTATTAATCTCCAAATATCACTCTGCTGCTGAGGGAACCACATCCCCAGCCCAGCACCGCTGTTCCCCAGAATCAGGGGCTGATGTCCACAGAAATTTTATGGCAGAAGACACTTGGGTTTCTTTTAGATCCAACAACCCAGGTTGGTTTGGTTTAGGTTGCTATTTCAAACTTGACAGTAGGATCATGAGGATTGTTGGTCTTGTGGAGGCTTCACAGTAACTGCCTGTGGCTTTCTGAGCTTGCCTCTGGAGAGGTTGCGGTGGGGTGAAATGTACAAAAGGTACGTCGTTGACTACCTCATTCTATGGGTTTTGTCCCCTGTGTTATTGTTGATTCCCTATATTTCATGTTCTTGTTTCAATATGTTTATAGTTTTTGAAACTATACAAGAACATAAAAAAAACTCATGTGGAAAATAACAGTCTATCTAAATGCAAAAAGGAAGAATTAACCCAGACCTGTATAATTGGTTGAATTCTAAAAGAAAGCATGAGAGCATTCCTTACTGACTGTGAGAGAGACTTAGCATCACGGTGCTTCACCCAGGAGACAGGGAAGAATCTCACCATGAGAAGTGGTATCATCTGAGGATAACTGTGCTAAGTATTGGGGGGCCCATAGCCTTGAGGTAGGTGGGGACTTTGCCTGTTTTTTGAACTGTTGCAGAATATAGATTTGGAATAAGCAATCCTAACGTGCTTTCTTTGTCTTTCCCGATTAAAGATTTTTTTTCCCTTCATAATCCAGATATGCAGGTTTGACCACACCGAAGTATCCCTGTGTGTGACATCCCGTCCAAATCTCTG